CATTTTATTAGTAAGCCAAGGAGCAGAAATGGCTCTTTTGATTGTAAAGATTGCAGACCCCTGTATTAGGCCTTTGAGGGTAACCATAACACTCATATGACCCTCTGAGAAAATAAGTTTAACACTCCTGAATAAATGGAAGTAAACATAAAAAAGGCTGAAAAACACTATTTGAGTGACTATGATTGGGATACTAGTAATTTATTGACCTTTATTCCCACTGAGGGAAGCTAACGTTTGATGGAACCTATTAAACAAGTAAAAAACTGCAAAGATGCTGATTATGGAAGTATGAATGTGTCCAACTTTCTAACTTTGCTGAACTCAAACAATGATCTGCTGCTTGCTTCCAAACAGAACGATGTCTGTAAGGAAATCTATGAGCACAAAATTACCAAACCGAGGGAAGGTTTATCTGTTTCTTTCCAACCCTGGAAGGCTCTTCACTGATCAAGGGACATTTTATACAAAGAAAATCAAACAAAAAAAAAAACCACATACATGTAAGTTTTGCCTACAGAAATAGAAAAGATGTAACCCATCTGATGGTATCCATTCATTAATATAACAAAAGCTCCATAACGATTCAATTTAAACTTCATTCAGCAGCTGAGGTGAAGAATAAAAATAAATTGACTCTGGCTTCTGTAYGTGTTTGTGTGTCTTTACCGTTCAACCTAGTGCCAAGGCTTACATGGAAAATCAATAAACTTTTATCAATAAGCTTTGTTTTCCTTCTTTCAAGCTTGATTCTCTACTGGCTCACACACACACACATTTTATCTAATACTGAATTACACATCGGCCATCTGGATCTTAGCAGGGAACTAATTCAATAGACTGCATTCTATTTTTATGCCTTCTAACTGTACAAATCAAGAAAAATATCTATATTTCCTCAAACATTTTGTAGGACTAAAATATGTTTATTTGGAGTTGGAATTAAAGGCAACTTAGTCATTAATAAACAACAAAACGCTATTTATCAGGTTATTTTTGACAATTGCTTCACAATGAAAACCATCAGAACCCATTTTTTCTGGTCTGCTGTTTTTTTTTTCCATCTTTACCTGTAAGAAACATTTCCTCTCCTTCCTGAAACATCATGTGACAGCGGGCACACCTGGCACAGCTGGGATGGTAACGCTTCCCCCCAGCCTGCAAACAAGATCGAGTGGGAGAGGAAAGGAGGTGAAAAAAAAAGGAGTCAGTCGCCGAGGAGCAGGAGCAGATGGAACAGATGAGAAACTGAGACGAAAACAAACAGAGGCATTGGAAAAAAAAGAAAACAATGAAGAGGAGGCAGCTTCATTCTCAGACTGAACTTGAGTTATTGAGAGAGGAACAGCAGGGCCTCTTGTGCCAACTCACACACTTCCTGTGCTTGATGTTGATKGATTGAAAACAGAAATTGTAGATTTGTGCACCACCTACCTGGAGACGATCACTGACCAACACACATATTTAACAATTGGTTAAAAAAAACCACGCTGGAGTTTTGAAATAAGTTCATCTTATGACAAGAAGTGACAGTTAGCCATTTTGCTAAACCTATTTTATTTGTGTATTTGTACAGTTAATAATGCTTCTTTATTAGTTGTGTTTTGTATAACAGAACTTGTAACTTGTAAAACAATTTGAAATTTRTAACTGTGTACTTCTGATGTATAACAGTGAACTTGTATTTTTTGAATCTTTTACACATACAAAACAGCAGTTGCACCTCCTCAGATTGTTAAATGCAAGTTCACAAATAATATTCTACAAGTTGCACATCAAAAACCTGTAAAGTTCACAATTTTGAAACAACCAAAACAAATGTTGCAAAAATGATTTCATACTTGTATAATAATGTCTTACAACTTAGAAATGTTCAATTACATTTTTTTCTATGTGCACAAACACAAATTTCAAATCGTTTTACAAGTTACAGGTTTTGTTATACAAAACAGAAATAATAAAGAAACATTATTACCTGTAAATGTACTGACCTTTATTTAACCAGGTAAATCCCAATGATCTTTTTTGCAAGGGAGGCAACCTGTTTTGGTCTGTGAGAGCAGAGTTGTAAAGTAACTGAGTACAAATACTTTGTTACTGTAGTTAAGTAGAAATTTTGGGTATCTGTACTTTAAGTAACTATTTTTCAGCATACTTTTTTACTTTTACTCATTACATTTTTACACAATTATCTGTACTTTCTACTCACTACATTTT